CAGCAGATGGAGAGAAAAAGAGACCTATTAATGCTGACAGGCAAACAGACAGAAAGATTGGGGGAAGAAAGAGTGACAGGCTTGGGCAGATAAACGTATTGGACTTTTGATAAATAAAGTTATACTAATGATAGCAGATTGAGAGAAAAAAGCCAGAAGATAAATAGATATTCACATCAGAAATACATTGTGCAACATAACAGTTATATTTAAGTGAATCTCACTAGATTCTTCAATTAGAATAAATTAGGCAAAGTCATTTTTTTCTTTCTAAAGAAAGAAAATTAAAAAGTGGTCTAATTTTTATTCCTAGATTTTGAGGACCAACTCAATGTTTCAAGGCAATCCACAGCTAGCAGAGCAGGTACTGTATCATGGACAATACAATACGATAAACTTTATTTCGCACTCAAATTTAAGATAGCAAATACATGCTAATATGGAATGATTCACCCATTTGCTGTACAAAAATTTTGTGTGATTGTTATCTCAACTGGAATGTCTTTTCATTGGTATTTTAAGAGGTACAGGTGTATAGATCTTTTACTAAATTAGAAGCAAAAGGCCATCAAAACAGTATATCCTTTTAACTACTCTCCTTTCTTACCATGTACAGACATCATGCAATGTATTTGCATACTTCTGTTCACAGGCTTTTTGCTTCGAACCGAGCTTTTACATGACTTATTGTGGTAAAACCAGCAAGCTTCGCATAGAAATGTGTTGGTTTAAAAATGTACAAAAGCCTGTTCATAAAAGTGTGCAAACTGTTGGTCAAAGTTTTCATGTTGTGCTGTAACTCTCACACTCAAAGTCTGTCAAGCTACTCCCTTAACAAAAGGAAAGGAAGAAAGCACTCTCCATTTTCCATATATTGATTCACTGGTCAAACACAAAGCAATCAGTCAAGAATGCAAGGTTCAAATTTGAATAATCCTTCTAAAGTACCTTGGTGCCTTGCTTGAGCACTTTGTGTTTGACCAGTGAACCAATGTATGGAAGATGGTGAATTATTTTCTGTTTTCCATTTTGCAGTTTGCCAGTAGGCTACCAGAGTTTATGACACAGGTAAGTTGGTTTCCTTTGCATGCATGTTTTGACGAAATTGATGAAATGCAAAATGCATTTGCCGAATGTGTGAAATATTGATTAATTGTACAAATTTTGTGATTTCTAAAATGTTCTATCTAGATGCAGAACCCAGAATTTCAAACTTACATGGCGAACCCCAGGGTGCTACAGGCTATGACACAGATACAGCAGGGCGTCCAGCAACTGCAATCAGAAGCACCAGGATTACTGCCTGGGGGAGGGTAAGTAAGAAGCATTAGGGTTTCTGTCTGGGGGAGGGTAAGTAAGAATCACTTGGATTACTGTCTGGGGGAGGGTAAGTTTGAAGCATTAGGGTTTCTGTCTGGGGGAGGGTAAGTAAGAATCACCAGGATTACTGTCTTGGGGAGTGTAAGTAAGAAGCACTAGGGCTACTGTTCATGGAGGGTAACTAAGGAGAAGAAACACTAGGGTTACTGTCTGGGGGAGGGTAAGTAAAAAGTACTAGGGCTACTGTCTGGGGGGGGTAAGTAAGAAGCATTAGGGTTTCTGTCTGGGGGAGGGTAAGTAAGAAGCACCAGGATTACTGTCTGGGGGAGTGTAAGTAAGAAGCACTAGGGCTACTGTTCATGGAGGGTAACTAAGAAGAAGAAACACAAGGGTTACTGTTTGGGGGAGGGTAAGTAAAAAGTACTAGGGCTACTGTCTGGGGGGGTAAGTAAGAAGCATTAGGGTTTCTGTCTGGGGGAGGGTAAGTAAGAAGCAACAGGATTACTGCCTGGGGGAGGGTAAGTAAGAAGAACAAGGGTTACTGTTTGGGGGGGGTGAGTAAAAAGCACTATGGCTACTGTCTAGGAAAGGGTAAATAGTTCCATTTTTGGGGTGATGATAAATTGATCAATATTTTTCTATATCCATGCAGATTGGGTGGTGGTCTAGGTGTAGTACCTCCAGCTACAACAACTACTACTAGCAGTAGTACAACATCTTCTAGTAGAGAAAACACTACCACAACCACACCTTCTACAGGTACATGTAATTACCTATCTGGTAGTTATCTAAATCTAATGGCTAGCCTCCATTCTGTCTTTACAGTACTTAGCTTACTGGTATACATCTCTTAATGTGTAGTTTCAGAAAATACTGATACCCCACCCACGGAGGAAATTGGAAATTCTGTAGGCGAGGGGGACAAAAAAAAAGAACAAAATTGGAGAGTTTTTATGGAAGAAAATTGGAAGTTCCTGGGGCTAGGGGGTCCTTTTACAAATACCCTTCATGGTGGGTATGGATATTTTCTAGAACTACACAATTCGCTTAAAAAAACATCACATCAAATCAATTAAAGGTATTAAATATATAAACTATCTATTTAGTAAAAGAGGTATTGACCATGAATTTTATGATTATGCATAAGGTTGATAACTATGTTACAGCAGCAAAATCTAAAACATTTCCCCCCTGCATATCTTGTGCATAGGAACGACAGGCATGCCCAATCCCTTGCTGTCTGGGTTAGGACAAGATCCTGCTATGGCACAGCTGATGTCCCAGATGATGTCGTCTATGGCACAGGGTCAAAATCAAGTAGGTTTTTAGATGATATTTTATAAATCACAAGTTATTTCTCCTCTTTTATATCTTTTCTCATTATTTTTTCCATCACTATTACTCCAGAATCCTGAAGTTCGTTTCCAAACCCAGTTAGAGCAACTTGCATCAATGGGATTTGTAGATCGCCAACGTAATATTCAAGGTAATAGAAACTGATGTCTCTAGTATCTGTACTTGTGAATCAACATTGATATTTTTGTGTAAATACTAGTTATACAATGATTTTGAGTGACATACCAATGGAAAATCCCAAGATACACTTACAAGTGACAAGATATTTCAAATCCTGCACTCTGATTGGCTGACCTACTAGTGGTCTATTAGTGTAATAGCCATTCTTGAAAACCAAAAAAATGGGTTGGTTGCATTTTCAACCTAGCATCAAAATTTGTTTGCATACATGTATTTAACCAATTAGGTAGCAGGTTTAGACTAAAACAATTAGATCTCTTGCCCTCATGGTCTACAAGTCAATAGGCCATTCTGCCTTAGGGGCTATTGACTCATACACCATCCAGGCTTTGGGTCTACTTATTAGATATGCTGATTATGATATAATCAATTTGCAAGTATGTAGTATTATAATATAAAGTGTTATTGGTGTTGTTGATGATGTTCATAAATGGCAGGTTCCAGGCACTCTTGATTGACGACTCTTAAAACCCCAGTGTATGTGGGCTTAGCCTCACTTCTGAGGACGGTAAACAAAAACAGAAATTAGAATAACAAAACATCAGTAACTCCTGGATTCGAGGCTAAGGCTGCATACACTGGAGTTTTAAAAGTTGTCAATAGTGTTTTCACGTGATGTCACAGCGGCCATGTTGGTTACCAAAACATTTTCTATCCTCCTTTCCACGAATTGAACTCTATTTTTATACAAAAACTGCACAGAAGTTTATATTGTTTGGTACACCAATAAGGCTGCCTTGTCACATGAGTGAAAACTCTCTATGGTAAATAATCTGTCAACTTTTCTTTTTCAGCCCTGATAGCCACTGGAGGTGATGTCAATGCTGCCATAGAGAGGCTACTGCAATAAATAACAATACGACAAACCATACTGACAAGAATATAACTGACGGAAGAAAACCAATCATTTGTCATTACAGTGTTACTGCGCTTGTGCTTGCAACCTAGGAATATTTGCATCCATGGATTTTTTCCCAGGATAGGCTTTGTTTGCCTTAGCTCATCTGGTGATTACCAACTGTACCAAGTCTTATTTTAAACATTCCAAAAATTCATGATATTGAAAAATATAATTACCAACTAATATTATTTGCCTCTGGGAATACTATTTTATATTTTGAAATAACATATTCTTTTTATAGTATATCTCAGTCCCAATGTAATAATCCATCAGGCTTGGATTGTTGCATCTCAGCAGGGCTTAAGATGATAACTGTAAATCATGATTCGGACAATGTCTAGACACAATTAGAACTAATCTAGTCAAATCTTTGCCTTGCCAGTCATTTTAACCAGTAATGTTGAGTCAGAAATGAGGTATAACTGAAATAAATGAATTTAACTGGTAATCATGACCAGCAACTGACAAGTTGTTATTTTAAGCTCTGCTTTGATGGGCTTAATGCATAGTCCTGCAGCACAATTTCTTGGTTGCATTCTTTGTGTGACATCCAGTAATACAAGCCATATTCTTATTATACATATATATCTCAGTCCCATCGAATAATGAAATTCTTCTGGATCATCTTGTTTTCTGATTAGTTATTATCAAGTCATGTCACACACTCTTTGTTCCATAACTTGTCTGACATCTACTAATTCTCTAAATATGGGACAGACATTTGCACAAACCCAAATAATTAGTGACAGCTTTGTCTTGGCCTAAAATACTGTTGTCCACCTAGTTTCTTTAGATACACATATACGTAGGCCTTAAATATTACCATTGTTCAGAGAAAAACTATACTATGCTCTACTGTTAGTGAAAGAATATCTAGACAAAAGAGCCTAGCAGGTTCTGCCAATATCACAAACCGGAAGGTGTGTTTTAGGCTATTTGTAATCTTTGCTTTTAATGAAAAACTTGAATATCTTAGTCCATCAAGGAGTCAGTAGTGTTAGGAAGGGGAGATATATATACTATGCTACATGATTGTCAGCAGCATATTTTTTAATGTTTATGATTCACTTTGTATAAATTTGTTAACTGGTATGGTATCAATAGACTTTAGAACACACATACAGGGCTGTCAACCCCAAGATATTCAAATCTGGAGAATTGATAGGGAAGGGACATGAAAAGACGTCATTCACTTTGTAACATTTGATTTGATTGGTTTATTTCTGACCAATCAGATTATCGCTTATATTACAATGGCCTGCTTGCAAGAACAGTTTATGAGGAATGTTTTGATTTTGTTAGCGATGTAAAATAACACTGTTAAAGTCGAGTCTCACAAGAAATGGTGAGCTTGGGCGATTATCCGGGAGATTTGAGACTCTAATCTGGAGACTGGTAGATACGGTCCAAAATCTGGTGACTCCCGGTTTATCTGGGAGAGTTGAAAGCCCTGCACATAGATCCTCCTCCTCAGGCAATTCTTAATTCCTCTAGCGTGCAATACTCTTTAGCCAGCTTTCTTTGCCAATGAAATGCAAGAGTGCTAGGCAGGAGCAAGGAAAAATGAGTATTTTCCCCCAAGGCTCCTGTAAAGAGAGAGAATTGTAAAAAGATGCGTGCAGACTGAGACTAGAACACATAAATCAGGGTTAAGATTTGACTTGGAATATAACATTAAGCTGATATTATTGCAAGTTTAATACATTTTTGCTGATTAATTGTCCATGGCTTACACCTATGATAAAACGTAGATCTGGGACATATTTTCAGACCTATTTCTAAAATTAAATTAATAGAATATTAATTGCACAATGTCTTAATTTAACAGAATGCTTTGTTAGTTATTTGAAAGGCACCATAAATTGTAGTGAGTCAGGTCATTAATTATTGATTATTGATTATAATGTCCTGAAAACCTAACCCAACCCAAACCCTAAACTCAAACTTTATTACGGAATAGTGCCACTTCATGAAGTCTTACATGAAGTAGCAAGGCTCAGTTGTTAAGTATAGAAATGTTTTTGAAATTAAAGTGTCTTGTCCACCAATTAGCCATTCTGTAGCTTAGGCAAGTTGGTATTGCAGTGCATTGTACAAAATTGAGAGGTGGCAAAGTATTCTGGTTGGGATTAGCAGTACAGTATGGTGCCATAATGCAAATGTCCTATTTTTAAACAAAATTCCTTCAAGTTAGACTATACACAAATTTTAATATTTCAAGACATATATGCATGGATGAAATGGGTAGTAATTATTATGATATCAGTCTGGAGGTTCATACCTCTATTTAGTGTAGAAAATAATTATCTCAAAAATCCAATGAAAATAATATTGACTACTTGGATACCGAATTCAAAACTTGCAGAGGAAGTTTACTCTGTACCAAAATTGGCTTCAACTAACTGACAAAGAAAAACAGTTTAATCTAAATGAATAGATATGCAATACATTTTGAGAATACTTATAGTATGAAATAGTATGAAAACTACTAATGTAAGTGTTGTTACTTGCATGTAATGGATTACAGTTCTTGGATAGTTTGTAATTAATGGTCTTTTAGCATAACCCTTGTTTTCAAAGTAGGGAGAGAATAAAGCACAGTCATACCATGTATTCAACTATGGTGGGTTTACTTATTTATTTAAATAATAAGTAAAAAATAATAAGTATTCTTCTCTCCCAACTTCGCTCAATTGCCACTCTGTACTTTCCAAATATTCTCCAATTCATTTTGTAACACTACACCTCTACAACTAACCACACCACAATACTTTCACTCCACTTCAGCACCCCACTCCCCTCCATTCTCCTCCCCTCCATTTCCCTCACATCCATTTCTCTCTACTCCATTCCCCTCCACTTTACTCCACTCCACTTTTCTTCACCCAACTTCAGCACTCCACCCCTTTCCAATCCACTCCATTTCCCTTCAGTCCACTCCACTTCAAAAAAAATTGTACTTCGCTTTTGCTTAATTTTCACCGCGTTAAAAGTGTTGTGAAGGACACTATCTTGACATTAAATACAAAAAAAGACCACAAATTAAAACGATTTTTTCACGATTTTTCACCTTTCTCGTTTATCTAAATTGGGATCCCTGTGGGTGAGCAAGGACATGGACTGAAAACTAAGATGGCGGACGAGTAGTTCACACTACAGTGTCCTTTACTGCCCAGTATATCAGACATGGAGGCACAAAAGAAAACCCCAGAGACACGGCTATTTCGCAGTAATGTTCTGAATCCAAAAGACGAGATAGAAGAGGTAAAAGAAGCTCTAAGCTGAGTAAAAGTAAACGCTAACACTGTATACGGTTTCAATCATCAAGCTTACTGCTTATTCATTTAAAAAAATCCAAAAACATGACAAATCTAATCTAGGAAGAAACTTATCACATTTGATAGACTTATCTTACTATATTTTTAACGTTTTTTTTTTGTTTTTTTTTCAAATAACTAATATGTGAGTTTTCACCTGGTCAGTCATCTCAGCAGATTAAAGAAAATATTGATGCCGGCTATTAAATTGCTGTAAATGTTTCCCTCCAGAAACTAGAAAAGTGTGCAGGTATTGTGAATAGTACTATATCTGGGTTGCCAGACAGGGAAGCGCATGATGCTCTCAACCAAACAGTAAGTGTTTGCATATCGTATTTAGTACAAAAGATTGTAATAAGTTACAGTAAGTTACAGTAGTGATGTAGAGTGCATACCATAAGCTGTATCCGTGAAAAAGTTAAGAAATTTCACAAATTTGCACAAATTAGTTTTTTCAGTAGAACCCTGTAGAACGTAGACCTAAAAAACTTTGCACTAATTTGTACAATTTTGTTAGTTAGTGTTTTCATGGATATATTGTATGCACTTAATGATTTTGCATGTGGAATAGTTTTGTACAGATTTGCAGTGTCATGACTGTGAGGATGACAGTGCCATATCCAGGCATTTTCATTTACTTCCATTCTCATAGTTGTTGATGGATGATTCTTAAAACTTCAGTGTGTGTGGGGCCTTTCCTGGAATCAAGGAGTTGCTTGAAATGGTTTGTTATTCATTGACAAATTATTTTTTGCTTTTGTTTACTGACCTCAAAAGTGAGGCTAAGCCCACATACACTAGAGTTTTGAGAGAGTTTTGGCTTTTATCAATTAAAAGTACTAACTCAGTCCATTGGAAATGTAATTAATGGAAAACAAAAACCCAAATGTCTGGAATTATAGCTAGTCTGGGTTGCATAAATATGAAAATGGGTAAAGTAAACAGTAATTTTGAACACTGTAATTGATTCATGATATAATGTAGTTGCCAATGCTGCTCAGTGGTAGTGACTCATTTTATGCCATTTCAAAGTCATGCAAAATGTACTCTTTAACTATAGAGTGGTTTTATGGCAGCTATAGACAGAAACAAGGCAATTGTTTGTATGGCAAGATTTTATTTCTCAAAAGTATAAGAAGAAAATGTTGGCTGTTTTGCCCAAATTATGAGTTGTGAAACTACTCTAATAGATAAAGAATCTAGCAGAGCAGAAACAATGATTTGGGTAACTAGGGCTAAAATAACGGATGTGGTCATCAGACAATGTCCACCCAGAATTGGAACTTGTGCAGTCAAACCTTGGCCTTGCCAGTTCTTTTGACCAGTAACATTGAGTCAGAAACAATTGATTCATGACCAAGGTAAAAATAATTAGGCTATTCATCATTATTTGTAGCCGTGGGGTAAGGGATTGGGAGGTGGGTGAAGATTTGACTGAAGGCCATGGTAAAGATCAGTTGTGACATATCTGTTTTATCTTATTTCGAATTGATATTCGTATCTTGTGATTAATTGCAGGTTTGTAAAAGTGTTCAACAACATGAGGATGTTTCTTTGGGATTGCTCTACATTATCCTTACTGACCCAGCATCTGCACCAAAGGTAGTGAGGGATTGAAAAGATGGATTATTATTGTCATGTAGTATTGAGAATTAACATAATATACATTCATCCCTCCCCTCCATTCATTTTTTCCTCCACTCCTTCCATCCCTCCCTTCATGTTGTATCCATTTACAGTGTATCCCTCATTCCATGCTTCCCTAGAGCTTCCTATCCATTCACCAATTCCTCCCTCTCCCTTCTTGTCTCTCCATCAATCACTCTCCATCCATCCATCCATCCACCCGCCCATCCATCCATCCATCCACCCGCCCATCCATCCATCCATCCATCCATCCACCCATCCATACACCCATCCATACACCCATTCATCCATTTGTCTATCCATTCATTCATTCATCCATTCATCCATCCACCCAACTATCCGTCGGTCCATCTGTCCATCCGTCTATCCATTCATTTATCCATTAATTCATCAGTCAGTCAAACAGGCAGTCTAGATCTAGACTATATTAAAATGTTCATGTTATTCTCTATTTGTTCATGTCCAATATTCTAGGCATATCGAGACTTGTCATTTATCACACGCGATGGCCTTGGCATGATAATCAACAAAGTGGTAGGGATCGTAACAGACAAGTTTGCAAAACTACAAGAAGCTACGAAAACACAGGTAAAGAATCCTCATGTAGTCAGGCTCTGCTCACTTGGCAACCAAGTAAAAATAAAGCATCCCTTTAGTTTATACTTGAATTTGTGATGACGTCAATTTGAACCAGTCTTTAATCCAGTCATGTGAGTCTGAAATGGATCCCAAGTTTGAATTAACTTTGGCCAAACAAACTGTACCATGGTTGTTATGTGCCCACATGACAAGCCTGTGGATTTCAGGTGCAGCCATGGGAGTAGTGGAAGATAATTGGCTAAAGTTATAACAAACTCAGGTTGTTTTTTTTATACTCCACCTGTGAAAGGCCAAAGAATGTTAGATAGCCCTGGTAGAAGTCATTGCACTTACAAAAAGGGCATTTCTTATCGTCTATTGTTTTTTTAATTTGCAATAGTGAGGCTAACCTATAGTGATATTTTATTAATGATTATTAGATATTATGGCTGACAACGGAGCTGGTTAAGAATTCTGTCTTGGGAACAGAGAATTTGTGTGCGGCACTGTTACGTCAGATTGTGGGTGGCGACATTTCTCCTCCCAACATATGGCTGGCGGAGTCCATGTTAAACTTACTGAGCAACAACAGGTACAGTCTATAATATACTAGAGGAAGGGTGGGCTAAATGTGGCCAGCTAGTAGTTTGATACTCAAATACAGTGAACTGGTTGATTGATCAGCTTGTGTCTTATTTATCAATTTTCCATCTACATAGTACATACAATTTACTTTATTTCTGAATAATGTGTGTTTTTCAGACCCTGGTTAGAGAAGAACGGTTTATTTCTGGCAACAGCACTCTACTGTTACCTTCGTCTGATACAAGATCATGAGGCTGCTCCTTTCAAGAACCTCAGGACCATGGAAATTGAATTTTGTATCTCACTTTTGAGGGAAAGGGTAGGTTGATTCTGTTGTTCAATGAGTATAAATGACAATCAGAGGCAGTACAATGTCTCTTTATGCACCTCTCATCTCAACTGGGGTCTCTGGTTTGATTCCTTGACTCATGAGCACCACCTGTGAGTAGAATTTATTAGGTCTCTCTCTTGATGTTTTTTGTCCTCTAGAATAACCCGGCATGCTAAGCTCCAATTCATTCATTTACATGTAGTTTTAAAACTTACATGTAGAGCAGGCCAGAGGCTGCTGATATTAATTATTTTCGTTCCTCACATTTAATAGTTTGCAGATTGTTTACCCATTGGTAGAGATCTTGTTCGACTACTCCAAAGTGTAGGAAGGTAAAACTCTTAAAGACAACATGATAGAGAACTGTTACCAAATGAAATTTAAATTAACTTTTCAACTTGGCTTATTAATCCTCTTCTGGTTTGCTCAATAACTTGTTTGGGCACTGACCTATTGTATAAGGAGTAAAGGGTTCAAGCCTTGGCTGAACTAGCCTTTGCTCTAAAAATATCTGCAAATAATTAGATCGTTGCTGTGGCTCAGATGACAACATAAAATGGCAGCTGTGCCTCTAAATTTTAGAGATGCTAAACATAAAGTTTATCAGGGCTAATTAAGGCCTAAGGCAAACGTCGAACTTTCCATGCACCGAACTCATTAAAAACAATGGATATCAGGTGATAATGAGGCGGCATTCTTTGATGTAATTAAGTTCGGTGCATGGAAAGTTCGACATTTGCCCTAGGCCTAAGTTATCATAATTAATTTCTTGTTGTTGTTGTAAAATGATCACTTTAAATTTTCTTTGATTCAAGAATTCCAGAGTTTCAAGCTTTGTGGAAAGATATTTTGTACAAACCACAAACATTAAGTCCTCAGTTCACAGGTCAGTGGTATTGAATCTAGAAAACCAATTACAATAGAGGTCCATTCACAAGATACTACTTTGTCTGTGATGTTGCCTGCGACGCTGTCTGTGACGTTGTCTGTGACGTTGTCTGTGACATTGTCTGTGATGTTGTCTGTGACGTTGTCTGTGA